TGCTCTGGGGTGATTAAGGGGCGGGGAACAGAAGAGAGGAGTCCAGGGTGGCCCATGAAAGCATCTGACTCTGGGATTTTTACAGACACCCCCAGGTGTCCAGGCTCCCCCTCCCCCCCCAGACCGGAGGCCAGTGGCCTAGAGCAGCTGGCAGCTTCCAGCAGAGTAGTAGCCACTCTGCTTTGAGTCAGTCTGGGGCCAGTGGTCAGCCTGAAGGTCACCCAAAGGCCATCTTCCATGAACCGCTCTGCCCTTTTCTACTGGCTGTCCATGGCTCGTCCCTTGTGTCCCACCCCCCATCCCCAGAGTGGCTATGAATGGTCTCAACGGGCCAGAGAGGACTGGGCATCACCCACTCCTCTGACCTCATGGCGATGCGGTGCAGGCCGTTCCTGACCAAGAGGCACCCGGCCCGCGTCTGTGGGCATTACGGGCAAATGCACCTGGACCTGAACTGCTCCCTCTGAATGCCCCAAGGATCCTGAAGAACCGAAACGTCTGTGCAAAAAATGTAACTTGCCCCTAAAAGCATCCAAGGCAATTATTGGTTGCTTTAATTAATACTTGCTGTGATTGGGTGTTAGAAAGCGCAACTGCAAATGAAATGGCGAAGCACATGGAAAGAAAGGCGGGGAAAGAACCAGCCCCCTTCTGCAAGACTAGTCTTGCCCTTCAGCCACCCTCACAGTGGATCACGTGAGCCACCGAGGGTCAGAGAGGTTCAGAGGAATCCTGGTGAACAGCAGCCTGGGAAGGCGGCTTCGCACATTGATCAAACCATGGTCTAATAAACCACAACTGTCAGGGTTCACACGTTGTACTAATCCCCCCAACCCAGTTGACCAGCAGAACAAACACCCCTCTTCTCAGGACGTGGTTGCTTGGCTCCAGTGAGATGCCAGCTGAGCCTCCCTTGAGGGCTTCTGCCCTGCTGGCTCCAAAAGAGCCTCCCAACCTTTCTGCCCTGCTGGCTGACCTCTGCCTTGGCCCCGTTCAAAAACGGCACCGGGGCTTCACCAGGAGGCCTTTCCCAGGCCGGGGACTGGATGCAAAGACACCTGGACGGAGCCAACCCTCTGCTTCAATCTCTACAGTCTTCTTTGCAGTTGATGCCAAACCCCAACGAAGCTCAAGTTCCAGACCGAAGGTCAAGCCCGGGTTGAGCTCTAATTTGGCAAACATTTAAGCTCAAATTGAGTAACTGCTGTTTTGTTACTCAACATACCAGCAGCTTGACCCTATCCTGCCTTGCATCCAGAGCCAATACTCAGAGGAATTTGCTATACGTGCAAATAAATAAAAGCAAAGTATGAAGGATCCAGAAGGACTTTGCAGCATGTAGCCCAACTCCCCGATCCCTGGGAAGGTCTGCAATGCAGGATCTGCAGCCACAATTTCTGACAGATGGGTGTCCAGCCTCTGTGAAATATAACCACCACGAATGATTTAAGTCTCCAGAACAGACCAACTGCATCGGCGAGTCTTGAAAGAGCCTGCGGATGTCATCCTGGGGTTCCTGTCTGTGATCTTCAAAAAATCAGAGGACAGGAGTAGTGCCAGAGGACTGGAGAAGGACAAATGTTTTCATGTCCTCAAAAAGGGAAGAAGAGGACCCAGATAACTACAGACTTGTCAAGCGGGCATCAACACCAGGCAAAAGTTTGGAACAGTTGATTTGTGAGCATTTAGAAAATAAGCTGTTCTTCAGCAGGGGCTGCCTGAGCTTATCAAGGATAAATCATGCCAAACAAACCTGATCTTATTTTTGTTAGAATGACCAGTTTAGTTGACATGGGGAATGCAGTGGGCATAAATTTCTTGACTTCAGCAAAGCATTTGATGAACTCTTCATGGGATTCTAGTGGAAAAGATAACAAAATGTGGTCTGCACAAGGCTGCCATTCCACGGGTACTGTATAGAGCTGGCCAGAAATCAGGCGGGAAGGAGAGTTCAGTGGGACATCCCGAGCTCTGTTCTGGCCCGTGATGCCCATCGTTGTCATAAATCACTAGCATGAGGGATTAAAAAATATGATTATCACACTCAGAGATGACACAAACATAGGGGGATATCAACACTTTAGAACAGTGGCAAGATACAGGAGGATCTTGGCCAGCTGGAACACTGTGCAGAAACCAGCAAGATGAATTTCAGCAAATTCAAAGTCCTACTTTGGGTAGGAAAAATCAAAGGCCTGAGTGTGGAACAGGAGAGACCATTCTGGGCAGCAGTACACATGAAAAAGGTCTGGGAGTCTTGAAGATCACACGGTCAATAAGATCCCACAACATTACGCAGCTGCAAAAAAGCAGTCCTAGGATGCATCAGCAGACGCATGATGCACAGATCCAAAGAAGCCCTCATCCCTCTATCCTGGGTTGGCCGAACCTCGGCTAGGATGCAATGCCCAGTTCTGGCTGTTGCATTTTAGGAAGGACACTGAGGAGCTGGAGCGTGTCCAGAGGAAAGCAACCAGGATGCCAAGGAGCCTGGAAGGTGAACCATTACAGAGGTTGGCCAAGTTTTGTGGGGAGACACAACAGGATCAGGAGGGCTGCAGTGGCGAAAACAGGACAGAATTGTTCGGAGTTGTTCCAGAAGGCAAGATAAGAAGCTGTGGATTGAAATTACAAGGAAGCAGAGTCTGCTACACAACAGGAAAATGTTCCTGACAGTAAGCAGCTGTTCAACAGGGGAACAGGTGGTCCCTCTGCCACTAAACAAACGCTGGAGGGCTGTTTGTTGGGGACCCCATAGTAGCAGACCCCTGCACTGGGAGGGGCGTTAGACTAGAAGGTCTCCAACAGCCCTTCCCATCCTCACGTTCTGTGATTTTACCGCTTCCGGAAAAGGAGGGCGTGCTGACCGCAGAGGCCACAGCGTGCCGGCCATCGTGAGAAGGAGCATTCTCAGAGTTGTCTGAAACTGGTTTGCTGCAGGTTCTAATCCTGCTCCCAATAACAGCAGGTACAATCCTCTCCTGACAGCCTTGCAGACGGTGGAAGAGCTTCTTGCTCAGGTCTCCCAGCTGTGCCTCGCAGGCCTTGCTTTTTCCCCAGATGACCTCACCTGGATGCCCAGGAGAAGCCCCCGGCCTCTGCCTGTGTCCAGAACTGCACGTCCCCTTCAGCGCTTGCGCAGTGCAGGGTCAGGGGAAACTCATTCTTTGGGTTATGTGAATGCCCTTACAATGCCAGCTACAACAACTGACATTGTTATTGC